AAAGTTGCTTTGAGAGTTTTCTACATAGTAATTTAAATCCAGTGTTAAACATAGTCCACTCAATTGTTGAGAGGCCTTGCTTGACATGGCTTTCATTGATGAATAAATTCAAGTCCAGAAAAGAAAATAAGACCAGCACTTTTCATTAATTATTTATGTAATAGGTTGATTAATGGTAATAATAGGATAACAATTACATTCATGAGGAAGTAAATTTAGATCAAAAAAATAACATCAGAACCAGTTAGTATTTGTGTAATGGATAGTACTGATATGAGGTACTAATAGGGTAGCTGGAGACCAAGACTATTTAGTAATTATTCATCATGTAATGGGTGGTTTTATGATGGTAATAGGATAGTTGGAGGGTAATTCTGAATTGTTATCATAAACATTTCAACAACATTACAGTGTATTGTAGGAAAATATAATCAGACCCATCTGTGACCACATTTCTTTGCTACTTGGGTTGTGTTAGATTTTTTCTGATCTTCTTTGATTGTTTTCTGATTGTAAGTCTTATTCTATACCTGTTCCTAGTTTATTTAAAGCTAATAAAAAAAGTGATTAAAATAAATGAAGAATCCCAGTTGATATAATCAATAATTAAAAGAATTCATGGTTAATTTGATTCATTAAAATTGGAAGACTACTTAATCGACAAGTTTTATGTTATAATAATTGATTAAATTAAATGACTGGCAGTAAAGTGCGAGTCTTAAAAAGCTTCAAAACATTGTGAATGTCGTCGTAAGAATATAATTAATGATTACGAGAGGAGGATTTGAGTGTTGAGATGTTAAAAGTTTAAGGAAAAAAGAGAAATTTCATGATGATATGGAGGGATGAGTAGCAAAAAAAAAAGAGAAATGAAATATAAATTTAAATGTTGAATGAGAGAAATGGAAAGACCAAATAAATTGTTGTGAAGTGGAGTGTAAACGACACTAAAAAGGAGATTGAAATATTTTCATCATCATTTCAACTAATGTTGATGCTTTACCACAAAAGTAGGATTATATGCATCGTTTCTAGGTATCAATGCGGCAAATTCAATTGATGTAGTTCTACTTTAAAATACAACTGATGTTTTTCTAAGCTTTTCCGTTAGTTAAATAGTTTTTTTTTTTACTTCAGATTCCAACTAATTAGCTTTTAAAGTATAATGCATCGTGACATAAGTGTTTTTTACTGAATTTGTGTGTAATATAAATCAATTGAAGATGTCTTTCTTATACCTGAACGGTTTGTCTTTATTACCAGAGAAGGTAGAGGTGTTAACGGCCCATCGTCAGCCCGTAAATTGTCTCCTAATCGCATTTAACATAAAGTTAAAATAAGAAAGTTTTCAGATAGTAGACGAATTGTTTAAAATCCTTTTCAACATTTTAATGGATCTATTTTTTGAATCATTTTCTGATGATAATGAGAGGAAAAATAGTGGAATTGATGAAAATTTAAGACTTCATTTCCGGTAATATTGACTTATTTATATGTTTGTTTGTGTACATCTTTTTTAATGACTCAATTAAGACTAAGTCATAACGGTATTTTTCAATCATAAAAATAGCTTATCTAATTTTACAGTTTTATTTTTTTTTTGGGGGAAGAAGATTTAGTTGTTTTCTATTTTACTTGGATTATTATTTGAGTATCGATTAATTGTTTATGCGAATAAAAATTGAACTATGGGTTATCGTTGTTGAAAATCTGAAAACTATATAAGCTCACGAGTACACTATCATCGATCGTATGTCCATAAATCTGAAGCAAACATTCGAACGATAATTCTACGAAATCGTTAAATCTAACATTGAGAAATGTTAAAAGAGTTGTTAAAATTTTTATGTAATTTTTTTCAATAAAATTTCTTTGTTTAGATAATTTACGTGAATAAATTATATTGTCTTGTTGATGAAAAAGGGGCATTTGTGTGTGTACGACATTGGAAAGTCGAGGAGTCAAAGTGTTCAAGTTCATTCGTGCTGAGGAAAATACTGCACTTAGTGTTGAAAAAAGAAAAAAAATGGATAGTTTCTTGGGTATTTGTTGGGTTATATATCTATAGGCATATACATACACAAGATTTACAATATATCCAGTGGCACACGCGTGACATTCCACGAAGTCAGAAAAGCGCTTCGATCTGAGTTATGTATGAACGACTCCAGAAAACCGTTGGAGCTGTTCTTGTGTCTTTACCTCTTTTTCGTTTGCATTATTTTCTCCCTCTGTTTCTCCTTTTATTTCCACCACAACTCACTCTTTTACTATTCAACTTCTCGCTTCGTCGAAGCATTCGATAGGGATGTTGGAATGGCAAATAGGAAACGATTACTTTGTAATGTTTTTTTTTTTTATTTTATTGACTAAAATATTTATCAACTAACAGTAGAGATTGATTAATTTTTTTTACCTCTTTGAGGTTACTTGGGGAAATTTTCTTTTAGATAGTATTGGATGCAAACATTAAAAAAAAATAATTAAAGGTAAAAAAAAATATTTATTCATAAGAAAATTAAATAAAAAATTTAAATAATTGTGATTGAATGCATTTTTTTAGATAAAAGGAGGCTTTAATTATTCGATTATTATTGTTTATTTATTTCATTAAAAAGAATTATTTAAATTAAAAAAATATTGAATTAATTTAATAACATATCAATTATTTTTAAATATGTTATTTTGTTGAATGAAACAAAAAATGAATGCATTTTGAAAGAAAAATTTAATTAAATCAATAAAAATATTAATTTTATTATTATTTTTTATTTATTAAAAAATTTTTGTTTACCTAATTGCTTAGTAATAATTGTTAATTGGGTGTATAAATGAATTATTGTTTATTATAAATAAAGAAGAATTTTTTAAATATGATGATTTACGATCTTTGAGCAACAATTTATGAATAAATTGTCTGAAATAGTTCGTTCATTACATCGCGCATTGAACTCATCAAGAAAAGAATGAGTCTAATGCCCGCTGGTCATACCCCCATGGAAATTCATCGAGCCGTAATAATCTTAGCCCCTGCCACATAATAATGACGCATTAATTAATATTTATAATCTAACCACGTGCGCATGACGCTTCCTCTGCATAATTTTTTTTCTATTTCCCTTCCTTATAGTAAAGTTCATAAAAAAAATTAGCAATAACAGTTTTTATCATCGTCAAATCTCAAAAACAAAAATAATTATTTTAACAACAATAATTTATTGCACTTCATCCTTAAAATAGAGCTAACAAAAGATAATGATAAAGATAAAAATATTAAACAGTGATAAAATATTTTATTTAAAATAAAATATCAGCGGGTGGTCTACAGTATATTCAATGAAAATGAGATAATAATTATAATGATTATCTTATGATGACAAAATTGACGCGGAAGTGTTTGGCATCATCTTCCATATGGTCAGTAGGATCTTAGACAACTGGACATCACGACAGATGTACCATTTATAGTTTATTTGCAGTTATCTGAGCGTATTGGTTGGAAGGCATGTAATATGCATTACAATAGGATAAAACGAACACATTAAGTACAGTAAAAGATACTTGCATTGTATGAAACAGTTTCTCCTCTCAATACTAATTCATCTTTCGTGTCAATTATGAGATAATAATATTTAATAACTGACCGAAATTTTCTCAAGGTGAAAATGAACTTTCGTTAACAATTAGTTAGTTAACAATCAACCTATTATGATTCTTATTTATTTTTTTTACGTTCTCATAATTTCACATTCTATGAGAAAAAAATTAGTATTGAAGATTGGAAAATAGAGCTCGTGGATGGAAAAGGAGTAATGCATTTTCAATATGTGTAGGTGATAAACAAAAGGAATGGTAATTATTTTATTAAGAGAAGATGCTTTGAAAAGAGTAATATAATTATAATTTTTAATCAAATCTCCAAGGCTATAAGAGTTCTCATATGTTGTCAATTCAAAGCCACCAATAAGAATATGAAGAAGGGGGGGAAAAAAAAAGATTTGATGTTTAAATGTGAAAATTTTTCTTTATGGAATAAAACGTAAAATTAAATGAAGCGGTTAGGGTATAGAAATGACGGAAGAAGTTGTGAGACGACAGGTGTCTTACGATGGTCATTACTTCTCTATAGTTCAAGAAGTGTCAAAGCAAACGAGCGTGACGTATCATAAAGTTGATATGTATTCAAAGTAACTTGGAAAGAAGGTGGAAAAGTGTAGAGTAGATACTTGGAATTGATTGAATTACCATTTCAAATTTATCCAATGTTATCAAATATTTTTAAATAATTTTTGATGAGGGAAGGTGCATCAGCGCGAATAAAATGGGTTATTGTCGAGAGTTTGCGAATGAAAAGTATCTGCTTTCGCGTGTTCAGATCGTGAAAATCAGTAAAAGAGTTAGCAAGCGTCGAGATCATCATAAAAGTAGGCTGTTGCCTACTTCACTATCAATCTCATCTCACTTAAATTCCCATCATTGTCAGGACTCTAAGTATAATAATCATATTTTACTTGCATGATTTGTTTGATTGGTTGATAACATGTTTTGGTATACTAAATCAACAACTGATCATTTTTCACTATAAAAGCAAGAGTTATCGTGTAAATTACATCATTTGATCGAGAATGCGAATAAAAGAAATAAGAAAGCGAAGATAAAAGCGGAAGAAGAAGATTGAGAGATCAAGGCAACTGGAACGATCCGCATTCACTAGTTTATATTTTGCTTTACTTTTTTTTTTAAATTGTCGTGAATTAGTTCAATAGAAACAAGTTTCTTCAATACTCTATCTAGGTGGATCATTTATCAATATATCTCTGATATCAGTGACCTTGTAATGTCTTTATCATCAACTCATCCTGCACTTTTTTTTCTTTTTTCTCATCAGGATTAAAAAAAAATGTTTATTATTATTTCTTTCAAATTCTAATTTAAAGATTATTGTTTAGTTAAATTATTTATTTAATTAAATGTAAAATAAAATGAATGTATCAACTCACCTGGTATTTCTGCAGGTCAAAATTACGCAAGAAAATTTTCCTTGCGAGTTAGGTTGATTTTTCACACACCAAAATATAGTTTAATAATTGACTTGGACTGTCCATCACTTCACAATTTGATTTATTTAGCGAGGAAGAATTGTTTAAAATTGATTTATAGGATAAGGGAAATTGTTTTATAAAAATTCTAATGACCATGACATTGTCTCAAGGACAAGGGGAAGTAGGTGGTTGGATCTGTGTTGTCTGGTAGTCAGATAGTTTGTGACTGGGGGAATTGAAGATACACCAGGACACTCGGATCTTCTTACTCCTGCTGTTCTCTCTTTCTTTCTCTTTTTCATGGGTTTCATGTGTTACTGACGAACTCCCTCCTGTATTCTTCCCACCGTAGTTTACCTGTCGTGCGCGCGCAAATGGTGGTGATAGGAGATAAGAGTAAAGGTGATGCTTATCAGTCACTAAACAACCTGTTGAGTTTTACTCCAAAGAGTTTCTAACTTCATTCATCTTTCCGCAGCATCAGGTTCAAAACTAGGTCCAATAGATTTATGTCTCAGGTTTTTTCTTATTGACTATCATAGATAGTATCATTACACTTGTCTTCTCTTTCTGTTAAATTCATTATTGAACGAATTGATGATAGGCTTCAGAAATTAATTTATTTAATCTAGTGTTTAGAACCAATTACTTATCAATTGTAAAAATGTTATCCGATGATTTTTTAGTTATTAGAAGCTTTTATTGTTTAAAAAAAAGAACTAAAGAAAAATGTTTCCGCCCGGGATCGAACCGGGGACCTTGTGCGTGTGAAGCACACGTGATTACCACTACACTACGGAAACTTAGAAGGAGATTTACTTCGCTTTCATATTTATCGTTGCATTATAGACTGCAATGGTATTTTAATTTGAATAATGCTGAGAAAATATTGGAATGTAATATTGTTCAGTAACAGTGTAGTAGAACAATAGAAAAAAAAAACAATTTTATAACAAAATAAAACATTTATTTAAATATCTACTTGCCTATGAAGTTTAAACGGTTGAGAGCACAGAAAAAGTAATTTTCTTATTCGAACTTTCCCATGAATGTCTATTTTGCATGGTCTTGGGAATGATTTCGAGTGGTGAATATTGATTTTATTTAAATTTTATGATTGTAAATGATCCAACGATACCAAGGTTTTTTTTTGTTCTTTTTATTATGATTAAAACTATCAGAAAATATATTTGAATAATTCAACAATTTATATATTTTAGAAACTTAACAAGGATAAATATAATATTCAAACATATTAAAAATAAAATTTTCTGGGTTATACATTATTGATATTACCATTTACAGTACTATTCAGATTAAGTTCATCAATAGACTTTAAAAATATTGATTGAAATTGTGGTGATCCATATAATCAGCCAGGTCAATATGATGAATCCTTGGAGTGATAAAGCCACCAGAATGGGGGCGGGGGGAAGAAAGCAACAAGACCGCCAGAGGCCAGGGGGGGGGGAGCCGGCGAGGGCAAGAAGCGAAGACCAACAACGGGGGGCCAACAAGCGGAGGAGAGGGGAAGACAAAGAGAAGGACCGGAGCGCGGCGGCGGGGCAAGGGCACGCCACGGGGGGGGGGGGGGGGGGAGAGCAAGGAGAGGCACGGGGGGGGGCGAGAAGGAAGGAGCAGGAGGGGCGCAGAAAGAAGGGAGGAGGAAGAAAGGGAAGCAGGAGGGCGGGGGGAGAACGAAGCCACGGGAAGGGGGCCGCGCGGCAGACAGGCACGAAAAGAAACAGGAGGGACCGGGACCGCGGCAGGAGCGGACCAGGAGGCCAAGGAAAGGCGGCAGCAGAGAGCGAAGCCGAGACCGAGGAAAGGCGGGGAGCGGAAAGAAGCGGACCAGAAGGAACACCGAAAAAGGGGGGAAAAGAAAAGGAGAAAGGAGAGGGAAGGGAGGGCGGAGGAAACAACAAAGGGGAAACGGACCACGACACGGAACCGGGGGGGAGCGAGCAAGCGGCGAAAACCAGCGAGAGGGCAGAGGGGAGGAAAAGGCACAGAACGGAGCCGCGGCCAGCGCCGAGGGCGGGGGAGAAAAGGCCCGAGGACGCAAGCGGGGAGGGCCAAAGCCGGGGCGCGAGAGGGAGCCAAGGGGGCCGACGGAGGAGCAAGGCGCCGCCGGGCCAGAGAAACGCCCGCCGGGGAGGGGACAGAGGACAACCAGGGGAGGGGGGGCAACAAGGCGACACCGGGGACACCCGGGAACAAGAAGAAGAAGGAGGGGAGCGAAAGGCAAGAAAAAAAGACGACGGACAAAGACAGCAAGAGGGGAGGGGGGAAAGAAGGAAGGGGGGGCAAGGGGAGACCAAAGACCAACAGGGGAAGCGGAAGAGGGAGAGGGCGGACGGAGCGAAAACGGCGGAGGGGGGCGAGGGGGGGCGGGGGGCAGCCCGCACAGCACAGGAGGGACAGACGGCGAACGCAGGAGACCACCAAGGAGACGCGGGGCGGGAGAGGGCACGGGGGGGCCAGACAGGACGAGCAGCGCCGAAACGGGAGCGGCCAGGGCCAAGAGGAGCCAGGGAGAACGGGGGGGGAGAGCGAGGGCGGAAAAAAGGGAAAGAGGGCGAGGAGGAAAGGACGACGAGCCACAAAACCGAGCCCGACAGGAGAAAGCAAAGCACGAGGGAGGGGGGGGGGAGCCGGCGAAAAAAGGGGAGGAGGGAGCACCAGAAACCCCCACAAGGCGCAGGGGCGAGGCAGCGACCAAAGGGGAGGGGCGAACACACCAAAGGCGCCAGGGCAAAGAACAGGAGGCACCAGGGGCAAGGGGGAGCCAAGGGAGGAAGAAGAAAGCCACGGCCGGCGGCCGATGAACAGGAAAAGCGGAAGGGGGGGGGGCAAGAAACGACCGAAGGGGGGGGCAGGGGGAGAGGCGAACAGCAACGGGAGCAGAGGGGAGGGAGGGGGGAAGCGCGGCGGGCAGGGGGGAAAAGGGGAGAGCAGGGGAGGGGGCAAGGTGAGGGGGGAGAGCCGGGCAGAGAGGCCGGAGGCGAACACACGGGGAGAGAAAGGGGGGAAGAGGAAGCAGAGGCGAGGAGGGGGGGGGGGAGCGGAGGGGAGAGGGAACGGGGGGGCCGGCGGGGAGGAAGGGAAAGGGGGCAGTAAAAGAGGGACCAAGACACAAACGGAACCAGCGCGGAAGAAAGGGGGGCGAGAGGACCACAGGGAAGAGTGGGCCAGGGGCAAGCGGAAGGGGGGGCAAGAGAGGAGCGGGCACGGGTGGAGCGAGTAAAAGAAGCGCCAGCGAAGTGCGGGAAGAGGGGGACCAGAACGACCGGGGCGGCGAGGGGAAAGGGAGCTTCGCGAAGAAAAAAGGGGCAGAAGGCCGGGCGAAGGCAAAAAGAAAAGGGCGGCCGGGGGAGGACCGCGCGGGAGCACAACGACAGGGGAGCGGGTGTTCGGACAATGGATGCACGGGAATGAAGAGGAGGGGGGTACGGAATGCTGGCGCCAACGGCGCGGGAAAAGAACGCAGGCGTACGCGGCGAAGAGACGGGAAAATAGTGATGAGTGATGTGAAGGGGAAACCACCTTTTAAAGTTACCATGAAGAGTAGGACGAAGCTGTGAGGAGGAAAACTAAAGAAAAAGTGGGCACAAGCGAAGACCAGGAGTTAGTCTCGTGAGCGAGGCTAGAAAGCAAGAGGAGTCCAGCAGGAAGCTGGAACTGCAGGACATCACGTGGAGGTAAAGAGTAAAAGCCCAGGGTGGTGAAAGTGTTGGCATCACAACGGGGCATGGGGGAAGTACGAGAAGAAAGGTAGGAGAAGTAGGGGGGCACATAGAGAAAGAAGGGAACGAAGAAGGGGAAATCAGACCATAATGGAGCATGAAGATGAAGCAAATAAACGCGGTCATGGTGCCAGTTGCGGGGGGGAGAAAAGGAGCCGAGGCAGTGGGGAAAGTGCAAACGGGGGGCCCGCGGCGCCGGGAGCAGGGGGGAACAGACGCGGGGAAAAACACAGCAGCGGAGTGGGAGGAACAAATTGATTGTTAAAAGATTCAATCGGACAGGTAAGAAGAGAGAAGCCAGGCTTGAATAAAGCTCTGGACGCAGAACAACGTGGAAGCAGAAGCCGAATGCGGGCAGCAGGCAACAGCAACGGACGGGGCGAGGGGGGGCGCAGGTGGGGCCGAGTTGCGGGGATTGGAGCGCGACTAATGTGAGGTCCTCAAGATGTCAGATTAGAAGATCAAAAGCGATAGAGCCTACAAGAAGGTTGGTGCCAAAAATCAACGGCGCGAAGGGGGGATCAAGACCACCGAAGGAGCCCCCACGTTTGCGGTGGCCAGAGAGGCAAACGTGAGGTACGTGAAATAAGTTATA